TTAGTACTGTTCATTGAAGTCAATGAAACTAGACTAATTTACATCAGCTGAGGATGTGGTTTTACTAAAATAAGGGGCAAAGAACAAAACGGGCAAGAAAAATAAGGATGTTATTAATTGTGAGATTTTATATATAATATTTCTATATAATTTGTTTGGACCCAAAAGCAAAATAACGGAGGGAAAAATAAAACTGCATAGCAAATATTAGGATACCTCTAAATTCCCTTAGGTATATCTGCTATGACTCTATTTACTTAACTACATAGCACGGATTGCCTTCCATTTCATTTTACCAAAAAAAAAAAAAAAATTGCATAGCTTTTGGGGCAGAGTCTGTGTTCACACAATCGTTGTCCTTTTTAATAGTATAAATAACAACTGTAATAATTTATATTTAACTTTGCACGGGAAAGAAAATATTGCATTAGATCCCTTGTGCAAGATACAGGAAGGTTCATATTATGAGCTCAGTGTGAATCTGGAGTAATGCTATTACCTCTGGGTAGTTTAGGCTGGAGGCATGAATATCTTGCCTTTTGTGGCTCTGCCTTGACCTTTATTTTCACATAAATGCAGATTAAGCAATTTCAATTAAAAAAATATTAGAAGTAATCCTTGTACTGCCTTGCCTAGGGAGAGTAAATATGTATTTATCCTCCACGTGGAAAGAGAGCAACATACGTTTGGCTTCTCATTCAAAGTTCCTTCCTTCACAATATTAATCGAGAGCAATCTTATCCTATAGCTTATTTCTGTGCAGCAATTAACCATGAACCAGAATCCTTCTCTCACTAGAGTCCAAGATGAGTAGTGTGGGCTTTGGCATTGTCTATCTGTGGGAATTCACAGTTGGAAAATACATGGCCTAGACACAGCTCCAGCAGGGGGACGGTTAATCAGTAGGTGGGTGTCCCAGAGTACAGTTCCACTTTAGTGACATGGAAGTAATGTGTGTACAACAGCACAACTGTGATCCTGCTCAACCAGTGGAGCTGAATTGTTATAATTGGGTTGTGAGCCAGGAGCCGGCACTAGGTGTGGTAGCAGAGACAAAGGGGACAGGAAATTGCCATACAGCGTCATAAGCTGCTTCTCAAACTTAATTTTGATTGCAGCTGTCAGCTTGGTTTTAGAGTTCTTGCGTGTGTTATTTTATTGAGCTCAGTGTGTGGGAGAGAGGATTTTTTTTTAAACTGAAACAATGTTAGAACACGAATGGCAGAAGGTTAGCTTAACACACCTTGCAGTTTCTGAAACAATTGCATCAATAAATAGCAATTCAGACTAATGGATAAGGAATGAAGATTTTCCTGAATCATGGAAAATTTAGGTTCCCCGATGCCATGTTGGGCAGTATGCAAATCAAAGTTAGGAATAAGTATAGACATTGTAGCAAAGATTATTCCCATGTTTTCCTTAACATCCCTACAAGATGTCCCTCTATCTTGCTTCTGTTTTCTTTTCATCTCTTGCATGTATTCTTTCATATCCTTTAATATTTTATCCTTGCAATATTTTAAAATGGATTGGGAGAAAAGACTAATGCAATGTAAAGTACAAGAAAGAAAATTATCCCTGATTCCGTAATAGAAGTAATTGTAATGATCACCAAGAAGGAGGATTACAATGTTTTACTTTTGTTCTGTAGCATTGTTCATTTAATGAGGCCACTTTTTTACAAGGATTTTGGTACATGTAGACTTGATGTGGCTAGTACCTGTTTTCATGTTTGTCTGTGGCTATAAATAGCTGAAGATTTATAGAGTCACGTTTCATATTCCCTCCTAGGACTACAGAGGAATTCTACTGTGCTTTGTTTCCAGCAGAACTTTTAAGAGAACAAATTGTGCGCGTGTGTTCACGTGTGTGTGCGCGGGTATGCATTCATCCAGGAGGGAGGATGTTTTGGGACTCTCCAGAGTCTCAAATTACTGCTAAAAGCCTGATCCTACCATTCTTGCTTATGCCAGAAGTATTTATTTATGTGAGCAGTCCCTTCAACAGCAATGTAGCTATTTCCATAGGATAAGGACTGAAGGGTGGATTTTAATTCTTTTGGAAGCACTGGTTAAAATGTCCAAAAACATTCTCAAAGGGTTGGTTTTTCAGGCACATTAGTGGCACTGATATTCATTCATTGTCCTGAGTTATTGAGTCACTTATTCTTGATTTTTGTCCTAGCTTTTTTTTTAAGTCAGTTCTGTAAAAACTGTTCTAAGCAACAGTGGAATAAACTTGAACAAATAAATAACATTATTCCTAAAACATTGCTAATAACACCAGGTAGCAGTAAGTGTGTATCCACAGTGACTCATTCTTTATATATTCAGCTAAAAATAAATTCTCTGAGTAGCCTTAGATTTAGAGATTTACAAATGTTTTGAATCCAGCCGCTTGCAGTGTATGTTTGGGAAAGGTGAGATTTGCATTTGAAAAGGATGAAGCAGCTCTCAGAAAGCACTGGAGGTTCCTCACCCCTGAGTGGTCTAAATCATATCGAGTAGCCATAAACATCAAAGAGGTTTCTCACTGAAGTATTTCTGTAGTAAAATTGTGTAGCATTTCTTCTGAGAAAGGAAAAGAGGAAGCAGAATTGATTCATTATATGCCAAATAGTTTGGTTGCTAAAGCCTTCATAAGCATACCTGTTGTGTCCAAGCAGTTCATTCTGTTTTCCATTAATGGAATAACATTTCCAGCTTTAATTGAAAAAGAAAGGTTTTAAAAAATATATACTAATGCCTGTCATTTTCTTTAGCTTTGTAAATGCATAGGTCCTATATTTATCAAGGGGATGTAAGCATATGCCTAAGGACAAGACTGGATTTTACTATGCAATACCAATTTACAAGAAAACATTCCTGTTTCTTAACAAGCTTGTTAAACGTGGCTTTTACCAATAAAAAAGTGCTTTTGCTGGTATATTTTGTACCAATACAGCAAGGGGAATGGGCTGTACAGGCAAGCACACTCTCATGTTCTAGCTGTGGCAAAAGTGCTACTGTAGACAGTGTGGAAGGAAGCCTATCAAAAATGTCCCAACTGACATGGCTATGTTGGCAAAAGTTTCTAAGGTAGTCCTGATCTAAAATCTCAGTAATTCCATGTGCTTAATGCCCTGCTGACCTGGGGCTGTATATCAGCTTTTCTGAAGATCCCAAAGAACTTTACAAAGCTTAAGCCATACAATACTTATGTAAAATAGGTAAGTAACTATTATTCTCAGAAATCCTGCTTCCCAGTCCAACTAGCTACTAGGCCTGTGCAAAGTGGCAAGTATTCTCTTCGGCGTCAGATTTGGCCGATTCAGAGGACAGCGATTCAATTTGGAGATTCAAATCACTGTCCCGATTCAATTTGGCCGAATCAGATTCAAAAGATTTGGCACCGCTTCGGGGATAGGGCCATAGACTAAACAGGCAGCTGACATAGCTGCCTCCAGCTGGTAAGTCTATTGGGGTTGGGGGAGTGGGGGGAGCACTGGGAGGGGGGCTATGACTTGCTGCTGCTTGCTCGCTTCCACCCAGAGTGAGCCATGCCTGCATTGTGCCCCACTCCTACGCTAACTGGGCAAGCAGCAGCAGGACAGAGCTCCTGCTCCTAGCACTGCTGCACCCACATCAGCACTGGGAGCGGGGACTCTGTGCTGCCACCATTTGCCAGCTGGTGTGGGAGGATGGGCGCTGCTGCCGCTTGTCAGCCAGCACAGGGCAGCAGGCGCAGCAGCACTGGGAGTGGGGGCTATGCCCTACTGCCACTTGTCCCCTTTCACCCGGAGTGAGCTGCGCATGTATCTCGCCCCCGCCCCCTCCGTCCCGGCTGGGCGAGCGGCAGCAGGGAATAGCCCCTCTCCCAGTGCTGCTGCACCTGCATCCCGCACCCCCCATCCTGCTCCCCAAGTCTTGCACTCCCCGCCCTGCTGTCAAATTTCCAAACCTGTGGGGAGACCCAAGGGCCAAATGACACAGCATGCTGGAGGCTGAGCACCTTTCCTTACAATATATACAATATTCTTGGCAGCATTGATAGCACCTGATGACAGGGTCACATATAAACTATATATGTCTTTATTTGAAGTGTTTTGGCAATGTTTTATTGTGCACGCCATCAAAACAGAATGTCTCTGCAATTATGTGATATTTAGTTATTAGATAATAACAGATAATTGCATGGGATTGTCCAATAAACTAAAGTGTTACCGTAACATCTAAAAATCTACAAATTGGATAACAATTATTCTTGAGGTTATATCATTATTCCAAGCATAATTACTATGAGATCAGCAGTGTGTGTAATTAATGTGTAATCACATGGAATTTGCTTTTATAGCTATACTTCACCCTTGTTATAAAGCTCTTTGTCACAGCATCTGAGTATAAAGATAACATAAATTGGCCCCACAGATGTGGTACATTAAACCCCACAATAATTGCTTCCACTTTTAACAGCCCTGTCCCCTTAACATTGTACATGTTTGGCTTTCCCCGAAAAGGTAAGTGGGGGAAGGGGCAGTATACTGCATTTATTGAGAGGTGGCCAGAAATGAACAAATTGCCTGTGTAAAGTAACTTCCTGTCAGTTATCACTAATGAGTTACAGAAGTCTATCTTTCACGTGGTTGAGCCAGATATATCTTTTTCAATAACTAACCATAATAGCATTTTATCATATACCAGAATTGGTTTGTAGCACCATACCACTAGCCACACTAAAAGTCTTGGGTGTAATCTCTTCCTCCATCAGAACACCCACTGTCTTCCAAGACACTTTTAACAGGGTGGGTATTTAGAAAAGTCTGATTAATAAAACTGTTTGCAGGAGAAGAGGAACTGCGGTTCAGCCCTTGAATTACTCAGAGAGCAAGCAAAGCTTCTGCAAGCAAAACTTCTGTTTATAATTGTTTTTTATGTAAGAGATTTTTGTCAAGCTTAACTGCTAAAATTGGTCGGTTAGTTAGTTCTCTTCATTTGCTTTGTCGTCTTGTCCTTACTTATCAGGTTTTACCTGGCAAGATGATTACACGCAGCATGTTATTGCCCAGGAACTCTCAAGCATTCATAAAATCCACAACTGGCATCCTGATGTCTTCTCATCCGAGGGGTCCGACATACCAAGGTAAGTCTTCGGTGGTGTTATGGGCTGTAATGATGTCTTTGAAGATGATGGACTGTCCTCACAATCAAATTCCTATGCACAATACTCAACATATCATGCATTGACTGGGCAGAAATCAGTGGCACAATAGTATTTAAAATATTGTTAAGAACAGGAGTTGGAATAACTGAGAACCACAGACACCGTGACCTAAATCATTTTATGAGTCAAATTGCAGCATTTTATGAGTCTAATTGTAGCCACTTAATTAGGCATTTTTGCTACTTGCATGGATTTTAGATACTTTCACCTCCATGCTCCACCACACTTAAAAGGCATCTACTGAAGTGCTGGGTTCTGTACCTGCTCCTGTACCCATGGCAGGGGACACAGTGTAGAGATCCCCAGTGAGCACTAATGGACAGGGTTTGGGAGTAGAACAGTTAAAAATACATAAAAACTGTAAAAACACAAACAACATAAAAAGGGCCTAAAATAGTTTATCTGCCCTACATACAACAATGTAGTTTTTAAGGTATAATATCCCAGGAATTACTGCGCTAAGACTATGTGTCTCTCTGGAAATCTTCCAGTGGGATGATGCTCCAAAATTTTTAGCCATCATGCGCAGGATTTTGGACTATATATTCATTTTCACTTCAATCCACTGTGCAACTGAGTGAGAACTTCTATACAGTGTGGATAAGAATTATGTCTCTGGTAGATTGGTCTCTTAGAAAATAAAAATGTAGGCTTGAAACAGTACATATGTTACAGTAGAGTTAGTCTGTATGGCTAGGTACAGATGTTACTTTTAATGAACTTTAAGCATGCAGAAGGGTCTTTACAGCTCTAACAGAACAGACATTCATGGCACATAAAGCACTTCAAAATGGCGACTCCTGCTCTAATTGATGGATATGTACCTAAAGTGCTTTCTGTTAGAGTGCTTTATTGAATGTCTGTGCCAGATCTCATCAGGGGTTAACTTAGCGCGTGATTGCTGCCATCCCAGGTGGCATTGCGCAGAGCTGCACTCTAGCCTTGGGCACAGCTTGGTTGCTTTTCCCGAGAGCTAAGCTAGCCCTGTGCCCCCAGCTGTCACTGACCTGAGTCAGTGACATCCTCTGATCCTGGCCCCATGCAAAGCCTGGATTTGGGGAAGGAGGTTTCTGTGCTAACAGTGGTCCTGGCCCCATGGCACTCTACAGCCTGGGTTGGGGGAGGGGCAGGAGGAGGGCAGCACTGAGGAGGAAGGAGTCTGAGGTCTCTCTCCTGGCAGCCACCCCAGGGAAAGGGCTCTGAGGTCTGTGTCCCCACAGCAGCCCTAGCCATTATATAGCTATATCTATCTATCTATCTATATATA